GGAGGAGGAGGAGGTGGAGGAGGAGGTGAGGAGGAGGAGGTGTAGGAGGAGGAGGAGGAGGAGGAGGAGGAGGAGGAGGAGGAGGAGGAGGAGGAGGAGGAGGAGGAGGAGGAGGAGGAGGAGGAGGAGGAGGAGGTGGAGGAGGAGGTGGTTGTATCGAACCATCTTTGGCTCCTACCGTGCTCTCTGCGCGAACGTGCGGGCGCACCACCGTGCGACTGCGGGCGCGGGTCGCGCCGGCACACTTCGCTGGGCTGCCCTGGCGCCACTCGGCTCCCCATTGCCCTCCCCTGGACGGTGCAGCGCTGTACGGCGCAGCGCTGGTCTTCTTCACCCCTATCCATCGGTCGTTGAAAAGGGGGTATTTTTGGATTCCCAGTTTCCAACCTACTGTAAGCGCCTTCCTACTTCAAAGATCGAGTGGCTTCACCTTTTCCGTCCTCCTTAGGGGGCAGACGGAATTCAATCTATTTTCAACGCCTTCCTACTTCATGTTTCTGCCTACTTCTTCCGACCGACGGGTATCGATTGTCCGGGCTCAAGGGGTGGGAGTCAATGCAAGCGGATCCTGCAGAGCCAGTGGTCCACTGACCCGGGTTTCAGGCGCAGGATCCTGCTGGGCCTGACTGGCCCGGGTCTGGAATGACCCTGGTCAGTAGATCCCCGAGATTGGGGGTGCGGATCCGATTTGCGATCTTCTCTCGCTCGGCTCGTGCTGCACACAACACGGGCGCGAGCTGGACCGGGCGGCCGAGGCCCGAAGGATTCCTGCGTGCGGGCACAGATCAGAGAGGCAACGGTACGGGGGATAGCCAGTCGCCCATTCGTCGCCGATAGGTCCCCGATAGCCCGCCCCGCCCAGGAACGTGCAGGCTCGCTATCGGGGGCCTGTCGTCGCCGACACGTGGGCGACGTGCTGCCGAGTCAAGGTGTTGCCCCCTTCCCGCCTGAGCCGATCCTCCCTCACGTTGCCTGGGCCCCGGACCCTGGGGCTTGGGGCCCCTGGGCCTTTGGTCCTGGGCCCCAGTCTGTAGGCCTTAAAGGCTTTCGGGTGCAGGCCTTGGGCCTTGAGCCAGGCCCTGAAGCCCTCGGCCGGCGGCCTGCGGCCTTCGGCCAGGGGGCAGGCCCTGAAGCCTTCGGCCGCGGACCTTCGGCCCTAGGCCCCTCGAGGGAGAGGCGAGGATCCCCGCTGTCCCCCTCCTCCTCCTCCTCCTCCTCCTCCTCCTCCTCCTCCTCCTCCGCTCTGTGGTGGCACAAGTTGGGACTTGGAATCCTCCCCTCCCCTGGCAAGCGCCAGGTGCCCGAGCGGCGGTGCGGCGAGGCCCACGCGTGCTGCGAGCAGGCCCAGGCAGGGACGCCCGCCCGCCCGCCCCGCGGGGCGCAGAAGCTCAGGAGGAGGAGGAGGAGGAGGAGGAGGAGAGGAGGAGAGGAGGAGGAGGAGGAGGAGGAGGAGGAGGAGGAGGAGGAGGAGGGAGGAGGAGGAGGAGGAGGAGGGGAGGAGGAGGAGGAGGAGGAGGAGGAGGAGGGTGGAGGAGGAGGAGGAGGAGGAGGAGGAGGAGAGAGGAGGAGGAGGACGGACGAGGACGAGGACGAGGACAGGAGGAGGAGGAGGAGGAGGGAGGAGGAGGAGGAGGAGGAGGAGGAGGAGGAGGAGCAGGGGGAGGGCGATGGGGAGGGGGAGGTGGAGGAGGAGCAGGAGGTGATGCCGAGCCATCCCCTCTGCCTCTCCCTCTCCCCCCTCCCTCGCCCCTTCCCCGCAGCCGCTATTCCAGCAGGCGATATGTTGCACGTGCGACCCTCGGTCCCCTCGGGTGCTCACAGGACCGATGGTGGTCCCTCGTCACGTGCTCTGGTACTTCCACGTAGCATGTTTGCGAACATGTTGGTGGCCGCGGCGGAAGCACCAGCTGCACCCATTGCAGAGCAGGATCATCGAAGTCGCCCTGACCCAAGGGGACGACGCGCAGCTGGAGCCGGCCTGAACGGCGAAGGGTCAGCAGCGCTTGAGTGGTCCTAGCACTGCGGAGGCCACATGCATGATGGGAATGGCCGAGCCCAGTTCGGCTGCCGGTCGTGGGGCAGTGCATGCTTGCAGAGTTCAAGGGTGCCTTTGCTTCGAGGAAGGCAGCCGCAGGTTTGGTGTCCCACATGCTGGTCCATTGCTGACCGCTGTCGCTGGAGTGAGTCTGCATGCGCTAGTGCGCTTGAGATGGCGTGGGGACAGATTTTTTCCTTGAGCGTTTGTTATTAAAGGTTCTCGTGGCTGGCGGGGCCGCGCGCATGCGAACTGCGCATGGCCAGGTCGAGGGGAGAGCTTCTCGGTGGGCCTCGCGGGTAGCAGCACTTCTTACAAAAAGGCTGGCTACCAGCATTGTGCGGCCACGGCTTCAGCGAGTGCATTGTCGATTCGGAGTGGCGTCTGCTGGCACCGCTTCAGCGAGTGCATTGACAGCAATACTGGAGTGGTGTATGCACTTTGGAACCATGTGGGGCTTTACGTACTCCGGATTCCATAATAAAGTGTGTGTGTGTGTGTGTTTGTGGGGCACTTTTTGGCGGGGTTCTGAGTGAAGCCGTCTCCGAGGGTTCCAGTGGGGTCTGGGCAAGCGACCGCCCTTTCATAGCTGGTCTTGGGGGGGTCTAAAACTGCTCGTCTGGGAGAGTTGTGACCCCCTCCCTTTTATTACGGAATTTGGAGTGGGCAAGGCTGGGGTCAACCGTGAGGGTCAATGTAGTTCTGGAGTTTTTGAAACGAATATGCGTGGCGCTAAGGCGAGAACCACACTTTGAGAAGGGCCCGTCCTCAACCCGTTAAGCTCCTGCACATTTTGGAGACGAATGAGCGCGGCGATAAGGCGAGAACCACATTTCGAAAACGAACCGCCCTCAATCCGTGAATCTCCCGCAAACTTTTTAGATTGCTCTCGGCGCTGAGGCGAGAGCCACATTTTGAAAATAACCTGTCCTCAATCCGTGAAGCTCTTGCATTTTTTGAAGTGCGCGGCGCTGAGGAGAGAGCCACATTATACAGACGACCCTTGCGACCAATGTGAGTGGCGCTACGGCGAGGGCCACATTTCGGAAAAGACCCGCCCTCCATCTGTGAAGCCGCTGCGACTTCTGAAGCTTCAGGCTCATAAATGGCAAGGAAGTCTCAGGCAAAACACCCTGACCGCCCTTCCGACTGGCCTCGGGGTGCGACAGGGAGATTCGTTCATAGGGAAAAGGAATGGAGGCGGAGGAGGAGGAGGAGGAGGAGGAGGAGGAGGAGGAGGAGGAGGAGGAGGAGGAGGAGCCGGAGAGGAGGAGGAGGAGGAGGAGGAGGAGGGAGGAGGAGGAGGAGGAGGAGGAAGAGAAGGCGGAGGGGGAGGAGGCGGCGGAGGCGGAGGCGGCCATAGTGCTCCTGGCCTTTCCACGGGGGCTCGGCCTGCGCGCGGTGCGCCGCGCGCGCGGCCGCGCGGCTGAGGCGGAGGCCGAGGCCACGACGGCCCTGGCGGCCCGGTGCCGGATGCTGGCGGCGGCCTGCAGGGGGCGCCCGAGGTCCTCCTGCCCCACCTCCTTCTGCCCACTTTTCCTCTTCCTCCTGCTCGTCCTGCTCTTCCTCCTCCTCCTGCTTCTCCTCCCCTCCTCCTCCTCCTCCTCCTCCTCCTCCTCCTCCTCCTCCTCCTCCTCCTCCTCCTCCTCCTCCTCCCCCCTTCTCGCCGTCCTCGTTGTCCTCGTCGTGGTCGTCGTCGTTGCCGCCGGCCGCCGCAGTCGTCGTCGCCGTCGCCGTCGTTGGCTGGCGTCGCCGCCGCCGCCGCCGCCGTCGCTGTCGCTACTGGCGCCGCCGCCACCGCCGCCGTCGCCGTCGCCGTCGCCGCCGCCGCCGTCGTCGTCGTCGCCGTCGCCGTCGTCGCCGCCGCCGTCGTCGTCGTCGTCGTCGTCGTCGTCGTCGTCGTCGTCGTCGTCGTCTTCGTCGTCGGCGTCCCAAATCTCGGACGATCAGATGCTGAGGGGTGAGCCCGACGTGAGGTGCCCCAATTTGGAAATCGTTTCGTTTCGTGTGTTTCGTGCGTGACGTGCGTGCTGGCGAGGCGAGGCGAAACTGCGCGAGTTCGTCCACTGGCCAGCGGCTAGCGGCAAGTCTGACAGAAATGAGTTGCCCTGCGCGCTGGCCGTGGTGTGGAACTTGTCCCCCTGGTTGCCCCGATGGTCGTCCGGATTGTTGTCTCGAGAGTCGTCTGGATGGTTGTCCCGATTGTTGTCCCGATGGTTGTCCCGATGGTTGTCCCGACGGTTGTCCCGATGGTTGTCCCGATGGTTGTCCCGATGGTTGTCCCGATAGTTGTCCCGATGGTAGTTCCGATGGTTGCTCGGGTGGTTGTCCCGATGGTTGTTCCGATGGTTGTCTCAATGGTGGTCGTCTCAATAGTGGTTGTCCCGATGGTTGTCCCGATGGTTTTGGGGGTCTCTTGGTAGTCCCTTGGCCGCTTGGGGCGTCTTGGGTGCCTCTCATGGGGGGCATCTTGGGGCCTCTTGCAGGTTTCTTGGGAGCCTCTTGAGGGCCTCCTGGGGCCCTCTTGGTGCCTTCTGGGCACCTCCCGGGGCCTTCTTGGCGCACTCTTGGGAGCCTCGGGGGGCTATTTTGGGGCCATCCTGGCGGATGTTGATCAAAGGAGGGGAGCTCCTTAGTACTCCAGATTTCGTAATAAAAGGGAGGGGGTCTGGACCCTCCAAGACAAGCCATTTCAGACCCCCCCCCGTGGGAGAACCCTCCAAAACATCGTCCCCAGACCCCCCCAGGCCCTCCAAGATAGCCTGGAAGAGACCCCCCCCGAAATGAGACCCCCCTCCCTTTATTACGAAATCTGGAGTAACATCCGCGGTTCTGGCTTTCTCGCCGAGGCCTCTTGGGGCGTCCTGGGTGCCTCCTGGGGGCCTCGGGGGGCTCTTCGTCGGAGCCCTTGGAGGGCCTCTTGAGGGCCTCTTGGGGGCCTCCTCCTCCTCCTCCTCCTCCTCCTCCTCATCTCATCCTCCTCCTCCTCCTCCTCCTCCTCCCTCCTCCTCCTCCTCCTCCTCCTCCTCCTCCTCCTCCTCCTCCTCCTCCTCCTCCTCCTCCTCCTCCTCCTCCTCCTCCCCCCCCTCCTCCCTCCCTCCCTCCCTCCCTCCCTCCCTCCGCCCTCCCTTGGAACCTGGGCGCCTCTTGGGGCCATCTTGGGGCACCCTCAGGAGCCTCGGGGACCATCTTCGAGGAGATTGATCAAAGGATGGGGGGCTCGTCAATCAGGGCCCACCCGCAGGAGGCCAAGCTGTGGCCACAACACCTTGGCTCAGCCACGCGCACAGGGGGGTGGGGGGAGGGGGAGGGCTTCTTAGAAGCACCCCTGCTTCTTAGAAGGCGCGGGCCTTATCTAACTATAGATGTAAGGCCGGCGCCTTCTAAGAAGCAGCCTGCTTCCAAGAAGCCCTCCCCCTCCCCCCACCCCCTTGTGCGCGCCGCCAATTGGTAAAAACAACGGATTTGTGGCCTCCTGGCCAAGACCTCCTAGGGCGTCTTGGGTGCCTCGGGGGGGGGCCTCTTGAGGAGTCTTGGGGGTCTCGTGGGAGCGAGCCTCTTGGTGATATCCTGGAGCCTTTGGGGGGTCTCTTGAAGCCTCCTGGGCACCTCTTGGGGCCATCTTGGGGCACCCCTGGGAGCGCTGGGGACCATCTGGCCATCTTGGAGGAGGTCGATCAAAGGAGGGGGGCTCCTTAATTTGGCCCCCCCCAGGAGGCCAAAATGTGGCCCAAACCTGAGTTAAATCAATGATTTGGGCTTCCTCGCCGAAGCCGTTTTGGACGCTCTAGCCCCTCGCGACCCCCACCTCTAAATGCAGGGGGAGGGGGTAGAGGGAGGGGTACACCCCTCCCCGAAGGGGAAGAAGTGGGGTTGGAAGTAGAAGCGATCTAAACGACTCGCGCCCTCAAGGGCTGGCGGGATTCCCTCTCCTGACCTTGCTGCGGCCATTTCCGACCAAGTCAAAGCCGGCGACAATCCCGTCGACGTTTTCAGTCGGACCGAGGTATAAGATCGTGGTCGGTTCGGGGAAGGCACCCTACTGTTGTTCGTGCTTGTTGGATGTTCTTGTGCGCCCTGGGGAGGGTACCCTTGGATGTCCTGTGCGATTTGGCTTGCGGAGGGTCTCGTGTTCTTGAGGGATGTTCTGGGGTCCTAGGTTCGACTGACCTTTCAACACCCTCTCGAAGGAGCTTTGGAAGCTCGTGGGAGGAGCTTCCGAAGGAGCTTCTGGAGAGCTTCCAGGCACACGTATCGGGAAACGCTTTGAACACTCCTGCCGGGACACGCTGCAGGCTCAAGCAGACCCGTTCATGCGCCTGGAGCGACGCCGGAACGAGCTCTTGGGGGCTACCCTGCGGTGCCGGCTTCCAATGTGAAGCCCTCGTCGCCCGAGGAGGAGGAGGAGGAGGAGGGGGAGGAGGAGGAGGAGGAGGAGGAGGAGGCGGAGGCGGAGGAGGAGGAGGAGGAGGAGGAGGAGGGAGGAGGAGGAGGAGGAGGAGGCGGATGCCAGTCCTCTGCGCACTCTGCTCGTCCAGCTGAGACAGTCGCCGGGTCGACGGCGGGGGCCTGCTCGGCGCGGTGCGGACGCTGCGGGGCGCCGGGCCGGCTGCGGGCAGGGTGCCGCTGCGCGGGCGGTCGGTGCCACCGCTGCCTGCCAGAGGAGGGCGAGGTGCCCAGGCCTTGACGCTTCGCCCGTGTTCTTCTTTTTGGGGCCTCCAGGGAGGCCCTCGTCGCCACCGCTGGGTTCGCCCCGAAATTCCAGTCAGAACGCACCCCGGGAGAGGTTCAGGGAGTAGCAGTGTCGGTGCCTGTTGATTTCCCCAGCTTGAACGGGCAGGGCTGTGTCATTCCTGTGACCCTGGCGACAAAATCAGATGATGATGGCTACCGGGGCGAAGACGAGGTCACAGAGGACGCACAGGATCAGGCAGTGACGGTCTTCACGCCAGATGAGCAGAAGGTCATTGCCAGGCCTCACTGTCTGCACTGCAGCTTGGGGCACCCCTCGACGGATGCGCTGAATTATACAGGTCCTAGCCACGCAGGAGCTGCACCAGGCATGCTGGACTCGGCCAGGAAGCTGCGTTGCTCAGCCTGCGATCCGCGTGGGATCCCTGCTGCGTTGCCTGCCATGGCATCTGGCGGTCTCGAGCTCAGAGATGATCGGTCCTTACCGCATGCGCGCATCGTCCCGACAACGGTGGCCTGCGAGGGATCTGGACCAGGCCAGGTAACGAACTATAGACGCATCTAAGTAGATGGCAGGACCACCAAACCTCGGACCACCGACGAAGCCATCGAGGCGATGGATGAGGGGATCCAGCATTATAGGAAACCTTTCCTTCGTCTCGACTCGAAGAGATGCCACTGAGCAGCTAAACCAAGGGAGTGGAGTTACCTCCCCTCGGGTCTTTCGTTGTCTGTAGACAGTTTTTTGCTAAATTCTGACGCTTCGCGTATCCCACCAGCCCAAGATTGCAGGTGATGACCGCACGCTTGCCCGGCTCATCTGGCAGCTCCCGGCAGCTCCTGCAGCCTCAGCCCTCGGCGC